GATGTGCTGTGGAACATGCAGTCTCCAAATCTCAATGGCATAAAACAAAATGAGTGGATCTACCCTGTGTCAATACTCATGTCTTGGCTACAGTAGCTTTATAACAAGTCTTACGCCAGATAAAAGACTTGTTACTTTTTACTTACGCTACATGTCCATTGAGGGTTAACAGAGGGCTTCTGGTAATTGTAGTCTTTTAGGGACCCAGGCTGACAAAGCGACCACCATCTTGAATATTACTGGTCACTGTACCAGAGGGAAAGAGTTCAGAAGGGTCTGGCACAAACACTTCTACTTATGGCTTATGGGTCAGATCTAGGCATTTGGCTCCACGTAACCACAAATTGGTCAGGAAGTGTGATCCTATGCTACACCTAGAAGGTGGAGGGATGGACGTGTTTGATGATCAGCACCAATAACTACTACAGTTTTTTACCCTCTTTTCTGTATTTTCCATCCTTTTATTTGAGTTTATTCTGGATATTTTCTTGCGACGTGTTTTTCAGTTTACTAATTCTCTCTTCAGCTGTATTCAGCTAGTTATCAAATCCATGCACTTTGTTCTTAATTTTGGTTTTCATGTCTAAAAACTTATTTGGTTCCAGTTCTCCGCTAAAATTCTCAATCTAGTCTCTCTGTTTGAGCAAAGTAAATATAGTTATTTGAAAATCTGTAGATAAATTTAATATCCGTATCCCTCATGGAGCTATTTCTATAATCTGTAGTTTCTGCAGATTTTTGTCTCTATTTTCTTGTATTTTCCTGTTCCTTTTTATTTTATTTATTGTTTTGAGTAGAGTCTCCCTCTGTCGCCCAGGCTGGAGTGCAGTGGCATGATGTCAGCTCACTGCAACCTCTGCCTCCCAGGTTCAAGCGATTCTTGTGCCTCAGCCTCTGGACTAGCTGGTACTACCAGCGTGCTGCACCACTGTGGGGCTGAGGGCACAGGGTCATGGGGTGAGCCTTATGCTGTGCTGAGTGAGGTGCAGGAACTGCAAAATAAAGAGACAGAACACAGAAGTATGAGGAAAACACAGCTGGGCTCGGGGGGCCACGCCACCTATAAGCAGAGTCAGGCAAGGCCCTGAATGTCCAGAAGCCTGAGTATTTATTGTGTATAGGTTAGGGGGCAGGGCAGTGAGTGAAGTCATCTTTTTTTGTTTTTGAGACGGAGTTTCGCTCTTTTCACCCAGGCTGGAGTGCAATGGCGCGATCTCGGTTTCACCGCAACCTCCACCTCCTGGGTTCAGGCAATTCTCCTGCCTCAGCCTCCTGAGTAGCTGGGATTACAGGCATGCACCACTGTGCCCAGCTAATTTTTTGTATTTTTAGTAGAGACGGGGTTTCACCATGTTGACCGGGATGGTCTCGATTTCTTGACCTCGTGATCCACCCGCCTTGGCCTCCCAAAGTGCTGGGATTACAGGTGTGAGCCACCGCACCCGGCTGAATGACATCATCTTTAAGGATAGTGATAGGGTCGTGAGCAATAAAACAAGGGGTCCACCCCCATTAGGTCACATAGGCCAGGAGGTGGACAGTGCACAGCAAGGGGCCCATTCCCACGAAGGCAAGGGCCGTGCGCAGTAAGGGGTCCACCCCCATTAGGTCACCGAGGCTTGAATGTGGGCCGTGCGCAGTGAAGATGGTGCAGTGTGCAATACTTCTATCTATGGGCAAACTACTTCTAAGAAGATTTATAGGAAGATGCTTTAAGTCACACAGTAGTGACAGAGCTGTCCGCCACCTGCTGGCAGCTGCCAGTGGGTTCTATGGGAAGATGCTTTTCGAGCAGCACAGCAGCAAGAGCTGATAAAGTTCACAGTCACCAAGGTGGATTGCCGGTCTGAGGGCGGCCCTCCACAAGAACTGGAGCAGGGTCCTACAACTCCTTCAGCAGGAGGAGTGCCTCTCACCCCAAGCCTGCCACACAGCTGAACGCTGCCGCCTGGGCCATGGATTCTTGTCCTTGTATAACTGTTTTCCCTTAAATCATGCTCTGCGCTGTGTCTGCTCCAGGCATTCCTCTGATTATAAGCTGCTTATTCCTTAATTCATGCTCTGTACCGTGTCCACTCTAGGCATTCCTCCGATATGGACTAAGATATAATTATAGGTATATATGTAGGGAAATATTCTTTAGGCACTCACACTATCAACCATTATATGATTATATATAGAGGATTATATAAAGGGATTCTTCAAGCCCTAATTCTATAAACTAATATATGATTATGTAAAGGATTATATAAAAGGAAATAGCTGAGTCGTAACACTGTAAAGTGAGATATTCTTCAAGCCCTAACTGTGCCAGGGTTCTACTTAGCTCTCATTCCTCGGTGCCTATAGGGGGGTTACCCACACACCACATGGGCTCATTTTGATATTTTTAGTAGAGATGCGGTTTTGCCATGTTGGCCAGGCTGGTCTTGAACTCCTGGGCTCAAGCAATCTGCATGCCCCAGCCTCCCAAAGTGCTGAGATTACAGGCATGAGCCACCTTGCCTGGCCATGTCATATGTTTTATTGGTAGGAATACTTTGAACCCTAGGAAGGTATGTTTCACTCTTTTTTCACTGAGGATCTAGCTTTTGCTGGGTATTGGGGGCACCAGCAGTCTGGAGTCATTTTGCCAATTTCAGGGATTAAGATGATTTTAAGCTAAGCTGAAGTCACCCTTGCTCTCATGCTATTGTCCTTAGGACCCCAGAGTGAGGGTCACATTTGCATATTCATAAATTCCTCCACTCACCCACCCGCGTTCATATTAGTAAATTTATATTTACAAATATAGACAGTCATTGACAAATGAATGTGCAGCGAAATGTGCACAAGTGAATATGTCTGTGTGATCATCTCTCCTGCATGCCCATTTATCTGCCAAAACAAGTAGGTGTCCACTAACGTAGGAACTGCTCAGCTCATCCGCTCATTAACTCAGCCACTGGCCAGCTGACAGGAGGCCTGTGCTGGGTGCTGCTCTAGGTGCTTGGGGCACATCCTTGAACAAAACAAAGTCCCTTCTGTCACAATTCATAGTGCAGTGGAGATACCAGGGTACCAGGGTGGGCAGGGCTGGGCTGGAATTTTAAGAAAGGTGGCCAAAGTGGGCTTTGCTGAGGTGGCGTCCAAGGGAAATCTCGGCGATGAGGGAGTGAGAGCTGTGAGCATCTGAGGGGCTTCCAGGCAGGAGGACTAGCCAGGGTAAGACCCCGGCGGGGACAAGGAAGGGGCTCCTGTGGCTGCAGGGGAATGAGGCTCAGAAGCTGGAGGATTTGGGTGCCAATCGAAGAAAAGACAGGGCCAGGAGAGGGCAGTAGCAGGCACTGAGCTGTACTCGGGCGGCACGTGGACGGGTTTTCTTGGAGGGTTGGCACCCAGGCGAAGCTGCTCAGCAGAGGGCAGCCCAGCAGTGTGTAAATGTCTAGAAATATGCGTATTTGCGCTCTATTTAAAGCAAATGTCTGTGTAACATTTTGATGTTGGCCCTGGTGGGCTTCAAGATTCTGGTCCCAGCTGCTGTGAAGCAGACAGCACAGGGCTGGTCCTCAGGCTGTCATTAGCCTGTGGACCCATCAGGTGGCCACGGAGGTGAGTTTACTGGTGCCTGCGTGTCCCTGGCCTCCCGCAGACCTGCAGGCCCCCATGCCGCCCCTTCTGTTGTCTCTGCCCCCGCATCTGTAGATGAGCGCTTGAGTCGGCACCTGCTCAGCCAGGATGGCGGTCACCTGAGGCCATGCTGCGCTGTGCCACTGCTACTCTCCCTCTCGTCTCCTCTGCCCGCTTCCCTCCCCACATCTGTGAGTTCTTCCCCGTTCTGCTGTTCCATCTCCCTGTCTGCATATGTCTGTGGCCAGTCTCCCTGGAAGAGCTATAGGAGAGCTCTTTCCCCTCAGCCTGTCTTCCTCCCTCTGACATCACAAACCCCCTGCTCTGTGGGAACGCCGCTGCTCACCCCTGAGGCTGTGCTGCCTTCTGTGTGTCTGTCACCTCTGTCTGGCCCCGCTGCCAAGCCTGCCCACACCTTCCTGGTCTGTTCTTGGCCTTGGTGCCCACGTTTAACCACCTGCTCTCCTTCTCCCAGGCCTCTGCTCTCCAGCCGACAGCTCCTTGGGCCCCAACTGTTTCCCAGGCCTAATTCTGAGTACAAGAGTCTCCCTGCACCACCTGGCCCTTCTCCTCAGCCACTGCCTCGCCCCCTTCCACCACCATGCAGTTATTAGAGAGCCAGCTACACTAGACAGCAGGCCCTGGTCAGCCCTGCCTTCCCCGAGCAGGCATGGGGCAAACAGCGTTCACACACAGAGCCACCCATGAACAAACAGCTTCCTGGAAGGGAGGCCGGGACTGGTCCGCCACCAGGCGCATGTGGGTCTGCTCTGAGCTCCTGCTCTGACTCTTCACTGCAGCTCCTCTGAGCATCACCCTGGCTCCACAGACAAGGAGGGCCGGGCACAGGAAGTCAGGGCCTCGAGGCCCAGGGCAGCTGGGCTTGGAGCTCGGCTCTCTGCACCCACTCCTTGCTCCTGGAGTGCTGGGGACTCCAGAAGGGGAGAGGCAGCGGCAGCCCCAGGGGCTGTGCCGTGCAGGCAGAGATCTGCAGGGGACCACAGAGGGAGCCATGCTGTGCACACCCTGCAGGCCAGCCGCCTGCTCAGGAAGCAGCAGTGGCAGCCAAGGCCGCAGGCGTATACACGAGTCCAGCAGAGGCAGGAAGCTTGGGGCGGGTCCTTGGGGGCTGTGAGGGGGAAGGAAGCCCTTGGAGGCCCAGCCACAGGAGCAGGTTCCTGCTCGGACTTGGTCAGGGAGCCCAGGAGAATTCCCGGTGGCCTGGGCTTTGGGGATAGCTGCACCCAAAGGGCCTACCACGCACCAGATGTGAGCACAGGCCTTTCCGCACAATGGTGCCTTTTCTCCCAAATGGAAGAGCAACAGCTCCTCTCCAGGCTGAAGAGACTTGGAACACAGGCTGAGTGCCTGACAAATGTCGTCTGTTATAGGTGGCCTCGCTGGATGCGGTGGTGAACGTGCTGCATTCATGGGACCTGAGCCTCACAGAGGCCATGCTCCAGAACATGGAGGCAGAGCAACAGCGCCGGGCCCAGGAGGCCAAACGGCACAAGGAGGCCGAGGCTGAGCGGTGTGTCGGGCAGGAGGGGTGTGGGCGGTGCTGGCGGAGAGCACTGTCGGGAGCATGGATGGGGAATGCTGGCGGGAACCTCTGCCCCAGCTCATTCCCATTCCTTAGCATGACCCTCAAGGTCCAACAGCTGGCCAGGGAGCAGCAACAGTGTCACAAGGAGGTGAGTGTAACCTCAGGGAGGAGCCAGGTGGGGAGCAGGAGGAGCCTGGTGAGTGGGGAGGTGGGGGAGCCGGGTGGACAGGCACCCAGGGGAAGAGCTAGGAGAGGAAGTGACCTGGTCAGAAGGCCAGGGCCAGCCTTGCCAGGGCCTGCCCATACGCCCACCCAGCTGCAGCAGGCCTACTGTGAGCTGAGCCGGAGGATCTCGGAGCACGACCAGTGTGAGTGGCGGCACACGGACAGGACTGAGCTGATGCTGCAGGTGGGGGCCGCAGCGGACTCGCAGTGCCACTGCATCCTCAACAGCCCTCCTTGTTCCACACCAGCCCAGGCTTCCTCCCTCCCAACCTAGGATGTTTCCCTCTCAACCATGAGGGGTCACCTGCCAATGGTGACCTCCTTGGGACGGGGTGGGGAGGAGGCCTGAGCAGGAGCCTTCCCCAGCCAGAGCATGGGATAGGACAAGCGACGGTCAGCGTGGCCCCCTCCTCCAGGCCATTAAGGATGCAGAGGACCAGGTGGAGAGGCTGCAGCAGGAGGCCCAGAAGGCTGAGGAGGCGCTGGCTCTGGCCAGGCTGGCACTGCGGGAACAGACGCAGGAGGGTGAGCCTGGCATGGGGTGCTGGCTGGGGGCTGGGAGGCCCAGCCCAGGGTGGAGTCCGGGGTTGGGCCTGCCTGTCAGCTGCACTCTGCCACCCTGACAGGGGAAGAAGAGGTACATGGGCTTAAGTGCCAGGTCACCGAGCTGCATGATGTGCTGATGAAAGACGTGGGCAACCGCATCCGAGCTGACGGCCGGTCAGTGCTCCAGGCCAGATGTGGGCGAGCTGGGGTTTGGACAGACAGCACCGACCTCATGGCTGTCCCCAGGTGGCCTCTCATCATTGACCCTTCAGGCCAGGCGGCTACCTTCCTGCGCTACCAGGACACCAACTATGTGGACACGGTAAACCCGGAGCACCTGAGGCCAGAGAGGATGCGCCTGGCTCTTCTGGGGGCTCTGCGGTGAGGCAGGCAGGGCATCAGGTACACCCACCCCACCCCCCAGCCCTACCCTGCCTCATCAGCCTCCTGGGGCAGGTATGGGAAGCCTCTGGTGTTTGATCTGCGCGAGGTGGACCTGTTCCCAGCTGTGCAGCGGCAGCTGGAGGCGGTGCAGCCCGGCCTGGCACAGGCGCTGCTGAGCCGTGGCCTGCTGGAGCAGGAGAGGTACCTGTCACTGCTGCGGCCCACGGACGGGCCTGAGTACAGCCCCACGCAGTTCCAGGAGGCGCGCCTGGGGCACTTCCGCCTCTTTTTCGTCACCAAGGCCCAGCGGCCGCCGGCTGAGCAGCTGCAGGTGCTGCTCCCGGTGCGAGTGCAGCTGCCGGGCACAGGCCTCTAGCGCTGGCTCCAACCCCAATAAAGTGTGTGCCCCAGGGCGCGGCGCCACCTCTGTGCTGTGTGTGTGAGAGGCAGGGGCACTGTGTGCAGTCCAGAGCCCAGCAGTGCTGAGCCCCAGATGACCAACCCTGACCAGCGGACACAGGTTTGCAGGCACCTGGGGGAGGTCCTGCTGGGGACGGGCAGCCACGCAGCCTGTGCACAGTGAGGCGCAGTGTGAGATGTGTGAGGGCGGGAGGATGCGGCACTTGGAGCTCAGCCTGGCCTTGGTGGGCAGGAGGCGTCTGTGCCAGTGGGTGGGGGTGGACAGACAGAGGGGAGGTAAAATGTAGTCACTTTATTCTTCTGAAGCCACAAAATAGAGTCTTTGGTTGTACAAACATCACTAGTTACAGTCTCGCCGATGTCTCGGCTGGGGTGGGGCAGTTAGTCAGAGGCTGGAACTCCTGCGGGGTCTCTTTAAAATGCTAAAACCCAGGTTAAAAGACTCAGGGTAAGGGTGGTGCTGGAGCTGGCAGGGCCCCCACCCCAAGTCTGGGGGAGGCACCCGCTCCTCTAGGAGGGCACAGGGCCCAGGCCACGGCGCCCAGGCCTTATAGGGCGGCGGCTGCTGCACAGCGCCACATCTTCGGGGCCCACAGTGCCGGGTGAGGGCCGGCCCAGAAGCACCAGGGCCACTTCTCCATCTTCCTCCTGTGGGCCTGGGGGGCAGGGACAGGGCGGGCAGTGAGCTGAGGGCAGCCGGGCTCCGGGGAGCTCACCCCGCACCCAGCCCCAACTCACCAGGGCTGGGAGATGGTTCCAGGGATCTCAACTCCTCAGCAAAGTCCGGCGACTGTGATGGGGAGAGTGTTGGTCAGGCCAGCGCCAGTCCTGCCCCAAACCACCCACGTGGACAGGTGTGCTCCCAGCCCTGAGGCCCACAGAGCCCAGCTGACGGAGGGAGGGGATGGAGAGGCGGGGCGAGGGCAGAGTGCGGGGAGGCCCTGCGGGAGCAGACAGAGGCAGTGGCAGACACAGGCAGGGTGGCAGGCATGCAGAGGCCTGGAGGCCGGGTACCTGGATGTCATAGACAGGTCTGGAAGAAGGCAGGGCTGCAAAGGCCCTGTAGTCAAACTTCTTTCCAGACAAAGGCTTGAAAGGACAGCGTGAGGGGAGAGGCAGAGAGAGGAAAGGGGTGAGGGCCACAGGGGTGGGTGCAGGCCAGACCCCCCCATGTCTCGGGGGTGAAGGGCGGGCACAACCACCGGCTCCTCACCAGGCGTCCCGGGGAGGTGCTGGTCTGGGGGCCGAGGTCTGGGGGGACAAGAAGCGAGTGTTGGAAGCGGCCCATGCGGCAGGCTGACCCCCCAACCTCCCAGACCCACGGACCTTCCACAGGGGTGGGTGACGGGGTAGGTGCGGGGGAAGGGGCCTCGGCCAGACGCTCCAGGGGCCCCCGAGTGCCCCGGCCCTCCTGGGACCTGCTGAGGACCATCTGTGCTCGGAGAGCGTCCTGCTCCAGCGACTTCATCCTGCGGAGACCAGCAAGCCTGGGTGAGCCGGGCAGGAGCCAGGGCAGGCGTCAGAGCAGGGTGGGGACCTCCAAGCAGGGGCCTACCTTGCTGCCCTCCAGAGCGCACGCTTCTCGGCCTCCAGGGCCCGGCGCTCAGCAGGGGACAGGGCACGCTCAGGTGCTGGCAGCTCTGGACTCTGCACGCGAAGCCGTTCCTGGTGGCGCCGCTCAGCTTTGGCTGTCCGCACCGGGGCGGCACCTCCCGGGGGTGGGGGGGACACTGGGCTCTGCCTAGGGAAGGGACAGGATGTGCTGTGGAGAGGGTGTGTGGGGCCAGTGCGGGGCGTCTGGGGCGTGGGTGCTCACCCTGCAGTGGGGCTTGGGCCGGCCCACAGTGGCTCCTCATCTTCCTGCTCCTCCTCGCCCAGGGTCTCGGCATCCAGGGCGAGCCTCGCTCCGGCCCCGGCTTCCGCCACCTCCCACATCTGTGCTCTCTTCTGCTGCAGTTTCCGGGCTGCCAGAGAGCCCGGTGGGTCAAGCTGGGCCAGCCTACACCCAGCCCCACCCCACTTCTGTGCCCCTCACCTTCCTCCTCTTGCATCTTCCGCAGGTCATCGGCACCCACCAGGGACACGCGCTTAGGGGGGCCCTCGGCCTGGGGCATGCGCACCTCCAGCTCAAAGTACTTCTGCCGTTCCCGGAAGGAGAGCTGCTCTGGGGAGGCCGCAGGCGTGGGGAGCTGGGGGGAGTGGGCCCTGAGGTTTGGCTGGCATTCCTCTGGGGCACTGAGGCCCCTGGGCACCCACCCCACCCACACGTAGTAGGGAGGGGTGCTGCCCCCACACACCTGGGCAGGGGTGTCCTCAGGAGGGTGTGGAGTGGGCACAGCTGCGAAGGCTCTGTAGGCCTGCTTCACGTTGGCAGGCAGCTCATCCGGGGAGGGCGGGGAGGGTGGCTGGGGGGGGGTGGGGCTCTTATGAGCTGCACTGGGCAGCTGTCGGGGCTGCAGCTGCACCCAACCCAACACCCACCGTCCCCACTGCCTGCCTTTGATCCCCACCCACCATCCTGCCGGGGAAGGAGGCTCTGCCACCCCACCCATGGGACAGGGCACTCACGGAGCGGGGACCACCTCTGCCCCTGGGGGCTGGGGAGCCCCTTGGCCAGGCCTGAGCCAATGGCTGGATCACCCCTGGTTTTGTCTGGAAAAGGCAGGTGGGGGCAGCAGGGGCAGAGGAGAGCAGGATCAGGGATTCAAGGCAAAGGATGGGGTAGGGGGAGAGAGGGGGAGAGAGAGAGAACCTGGGTGGGGCTGACATATTGCCAGTGAGGTGCTGAGCTGTGGCTGGGTCTCTCGGGTGCTGTCACCCCCACCCCCACGTGGTAGTGTGTTGGGGTTGGTGCCAATAGTAGGGGGGGCAAGGACCCCCTGGCAAGAGGCAGGCAGGGGCGAGGCTGGTGGGCCCTGGGCCCAAGACAATGACCGGGGTCTCTGGAGCTTAAGCCCCTCCAGGAACAGCAAGCCCAGGCCCCCAGCCCATCGCCAGGCAGCTCTGGCCAGGAAAGTGTTCCTGGCTGTCCTCGCACAGAAGGCCCCGTGGTAGCAGAGGGAAGCCCGGAATCAATGGCATGCCACCCCCTCTCCCTGGAGGAGGGGGCCCTGCACACAGCAGCCATCTATCCTGCCCTCCCCTGCCGTGGGGCATGCCTGTTAACTCAAGACACTCACCTGCTGGCCACTAGGGGAGTGGGGGGCTTCGGCTGTCTTCCCTCCAGCTGCTCCAGACGGTACCTGGAGGATCAGGCAGTGGGTGGGGTGAGGCCTGGCAGGGCTGTGGGCCCTGGCACTTGCCTGGAGGGCACAGAAGCTCTTCAGCTCCCCAAACTGACTATAGCCTAGGGGACACCCAGGTACTCGGTCGGCATGAAGGAGCTGTCCCTGACCCCCACGATGCAGGGGCCTGGGATGGGCAGCTCGTGTCTCCCTAGCAGTGCGCTGGCTGGAGCCTTGCAGGAGAGATGGAAGCAGACAGCACAGTTGCAGGAGAGGGCTCAGGGGAGGGGCGGGGGACAGAGGGGCCAGCGGGGAGCCCCCACTTGCGGTGTGCAGCCCTCAGGGCTCGAGCGCTGCCCCCACAGCTGTGCTCTTGTTCATGGGATGAAGGGTCTCCTGGGAGCCCCCCTCTCATTGCTGCCCATGCCGAGGGGAGGCAGGGTCGGTACCCAAGAGCCCTTGCATGCGCTGCCTCAGCCCCTAACCACCACCCGACCACCAGTGCAGGGGCCTGGCAGAGCCTGTCCCCCGCCACTCACGCTCCTTTCGGGGCTCCCAGCAGAGGCTGGCGGGGCACACCCTCTGGGAGGATTATTGGTTTCTCTCTGGGGAGGGACAGGCCTGCGCATCCTCCCGCCCTCCCGCCCATCCCCAGCGACGGCCCCTCCAGCTGCTCCAGCCCATCCTCCCCTCAGCAACGTGTGCCTGCCCAACCCCCCAGGAGCCTCCGCCTCCAGCCTGCACCCTCAGCCTGGGCAGCACCCCAATAGCAGGTGAAGCTCACACACCACACCGGCCTGCTCGGTGAGTACGAGCGCCTCGGGCTTCATCCAAAGCTCGGGGTGGGGGTGGGGCAGCACGGCTGGGGTCAAGAACGAGGGTTGACAAGCACGTGGCATGCTGGGGGCCAAGCTCCGGCTGGGGTAGCCTGCAGGTCAGATGCGGCCTCCTCCCACCCTAGCCCCTGCCCAAGGTTCCCTCCATGAAGGCCCTGGCGTTCATCTTGGGGTAGCTGATGAACAGGAGAACAGGACAGAGGTGGGGGCACTGCACTGTGGGCACTGACCCTCTGCACGCTGCCAGCACTGGGCACGGCGGCCAGGGCACGGTAGTCCAGCTTCAGGGGCTCCAGACCCTGACCCTGGGAGCAGAGCAGACACAGCACTAACAAGGGCAGCTCCATGGCAGCCGCCAGCCATTGGGGGAAGGGAGACAGCACAGGCACAAGAGGGGGTTCTGGGGGTCACTATCCAGCACCCCATGGGCGATATGAACCCCAATCCAGTGCCCTGATGGGAGGGGTAGGGTGACCCCACTCACTGCGGCTTCTGTGGCCTCGGACCAGTGCAGGGTCTGTCCAGGCAGCTCCTTCTCCTGTAAGCAAAGTGGACCCATCAGGTGCTGCTGGCCTCGGGCTCCCTGGCCCTGGGGCTGCCGACTGTAAGTGCCTCTGACCTTGCCTGGGCCCTCAGGACTCAGCTCCCGGTCAATGGACGAGATGCTGTCCAGGCTGTTCCGGTGGCTGATGCCTGCCGCAAAGGGGTTGGCAATGACACCTGGGGACACCTGAGAAGAGGGGTGTGGGCTGAGGGGAGAATGGCCAGCAAAGGTAACCAAGGGGCCACGTCCCTGGGTGGGGCGGCCGCAGAGGGCACTCTGCTGGGCCCTCCAGTGCCCGGCAGGACTGTCCCGGGCCCGGCCCGTCCCCCTCACAGCTCACAGGGCTGCTGTGGACATGGTCACGTCTGCACTAAGTGAGACTAAAGTGGCGTGATGCCTGCCACTTTGTCTGGGGCAGGACAAAACAGGCAACTGTGTAAAGTCACCCCAGGAAGAACTGACAGCCTCCAAAACGGGGCAAGGAGGGGGTGAGCAGCGGGCGCTACACCTGCTGGCACACAGCAGCCCCCTCGGGTGGACAGGCTGGCTCCAGACCCTGGCATGAGTGCTGAGCAGGGACTGTGAAACAAAGGACACCATGCAGGAGGTCCAGCCAGCCCTGCACTTCCCAGACCTAAATTATCTGTCCCACACCAGTGGCTGGCAGGGCAGAGGGGGCCGAGGAGACAGGGCCAGGACAGGCAGGGGCTTCTGGTTGGGCACAAGATGTACTTCGACCCTGAGCCCCGGATAAATAAACACAGGCAGACAGAACCATGGGAAGGGCTTACTTCCAAGCCCCCAGGGGTCAGTGGTACTGGCTCAGGCCTCCACCGCCAGCAGCCAGAGGAGGCAGCACAGTGGAGAGGGCATCACTTGTAGCCCTCTTCACAGACGGGGGTCCCTGTGAGGTCAGTGCTCTCAGTGTGGCCTGAAGGACAAACCCAGCCCCGTGCTGTTTCTTAAAACATAACTGAAATGGTAAGTAAGGGGTGGGTAGAGATGTCAAGCACACGGAAGGCACAGAGAGTAGCTGCTCAGACCAGGGGAGATGCGATGCTGCCACCACAGAGATGCCATTTACAAGGACAATACAGTCACCATCAACTCTGAGCACTCAACAAGCTAAACACAGAAAGCAAAGACTACTGGAAACACCAGAGGGTCACAAAAGCACAGGCAGAGAGCCTTAACGACACCTCTTCGGATTCTCACAGAACTAGGACAAACAAGCTGCCCATCTTCTCAATTTCTGAAGTAAGTCAGAGCCACAGAATAAGAGAGGCAGGGGGCCTGGCAGAGTGGGAAGCAAGATCACGGGCAGCCCAGCCTCTCACAGCAGAGAGAGCTGCTCAAACACAGAAAAGGCCACGGGTGAGCTCATGCCCTATCGTTCCAGGAATAATTGTGGAAGACTGGCAGGCTACCTAGCTCTGGCCTCGGGGAGGTTCTGAGAGCGCTGTGCACGTCCAGTGCCAAGACCACAGTTCCTAAGGATCACTAAAAGGAACCACCGCTCCTGAGAGAAATGGCTGACTCCAGGGCCAGGCAGGGCAAGGAGAGGAGCCCAGCACTTCCTGGATGCTCAGAGAGGGGAGGTCATATCAGAACGAGTCAGGCGCTCAAGCACCTTCATGGGCCAAGGCTGGGACAATTTGAGCATCAGAATAAATTGTGATGGGGCCGGGTGCGGTGGCTGACGCCTGTAATCGCAGCACTTTGGGAGGCTGAGGCACGCAGATCATGAGGTCGAGTTCAAGACCAGCCTGGCCAACACAGTAAAACCCTGTCTCTACTAAAAATATAAAAATTAGCCAGGCATGGTGGCAGGCGCCTGTAATTCCAGCTACTTGGGAGGCTGAGGCAAGAGAAATGCTTGAACCTGGGAGGTAGAGGTTGCAGTGAGCCGAAACTGCGCCACTGCACTCCAGCCTGGTGACAGAGTGAGACTCTGTCTCAAAAAAAAAAAGAAAAATTAATTTTAAAAAATAGCAATGGTAAGAACCTGTCACCCATGAAATGAAATGGAAATTCCTTTGTTAATGAAATGGACTCCTTGTGAGCCCACATGAACAGGCAAGCAGATGACACATAACTGGGAGAAGGGAAGGCTCTAGGGCAGGAAGCCACCTGAGGAGCATGGGGTGGTGGGTAGGGCACTGTCGCCAACCACCTCAGGCCCGCTCAGGAACCATCGGGGTGCTGAGGTGCCCAGGGGGAGCTGGGTGAGAAGCAGCATGTCACGTTCTCTCCAAGCACCTCTCACAACCGCTTGCTGCTCTCTAGGGGCAGGAGTAACTGCAGGGGAAACCTGGCTGACCCCGGTTCAGAGCATCAGCAGCGGGGCCTGGTGAGCGGCGTGGAGACACGTGGCTTCTCCGCCACCAAGATGCACATGCTGAAGCCCGTGAGGACATCAGACCCAGCGTGGGGACAATCACAGTAGGGAGGGCCTGTGCCCACCAGACACATCAAGGTCTGAGGAATCAGCGAAGACAGAGGCAGGCTCCGACGGAAGGAGACTACGGGGTGCAGCGGCCAAACCCCACAGGGACCGAACTGTGCCCTTCCGCAAAGGAGCGCGTCCCCGGCATGGTGGGTGGGCCAGGAATAGGCCTGAGTGTCACAGGTTTGTCCTGTGTTTGCAACTTTTCTCTGAGTTTAAAATTCATTTATGTATGTGCTTATATTTTTCAAAAAGAAACAAATGGCAGAATAAACCAAACGTAATAAAGCTGGTAGCCTTGGAGCTGAGATGGATGCCGGGCTTCTGAAGTGAGTCTGTAATTCCGACTTTGGAACCAGGTGATGATGTACACGATTAAGAAACTGATTTTCTGGTGGCAGATGGCTGTAGTCCCAGCTACTTGGGAGGCTCAGGCAGAAGAATTGCTTGAACCCGGGAGGAGGAGGCTGCAGTGAGCTGAGATCATGCCACTGCACTCCAGCCTGGGTGACAGAGTGAGACTGTCTCAAAACAAAAAAAAAAAAAAAAAAGACACAGATTTTAAAAAAGATCACTCTAAAAGCTAAAACGAGTCAACCCAACTGTGTATCGAGTTGGCAGCCAGAGCACAGAGGCTCTCAAGTGGCCGAGAACACAGGATGCTGCCAACTGCTCGTCCTAGTGGGGTGAGCCCTCAGGAAGGCAGCCTCCCAAAACTCAGCCCCCGGCGCTCCTGCTCTCAGGCATGCCACTGCTGTCGCTGTTTTTGTTTAGAGTCTTACTGTCTTGCCCAGGCCGGACTCAAACACCTGGGTTCAAGCGACCCACCTGTTTCAGCCTCCTCAGTAGCTGGGACTACAGGTGCGTGCCACCACACTCAGCTAATTTTGAAATTAAGAAATTGGAGATTTTATGAGAAAAAGAGAAATCTAAAATCACAAAAGTTAGTTAAAAACCCTATAATGTTAAGTGAGCTAAATATAACAGTACAAACACATGATTTTTCTCGTTCATGGATATAAAAATCTCCACCTCTCAGCCTCCATCTGCTGCAGAGGCCATAGAGCGGCAGACGCTGAGCCAGAGTCCTGAGCCCGCCTGGCCCACGGCTAGGAGCTCTACACTCAGCTCCCACCAAGAGGGGCCAGGTTCCACACAACAGGCTGGAATCCAGGGCTGGGGCAGGAAGTACGAAGAATGCCTTGCCAAGGCAGCTGGGGAATATTCCCTGCCTGATCAGGGGACACCAAGGGAACACTGTGTTGAAACCCATTAGGAAAACCCTAAAAACAGAAAGATACCTCAAAACCACCTTTGGAAGCGTCTAGGGCCCCAGCTTCAGATAACAATTCTTACAAGTTATAAACAGAAACAGCCCCCAACCCCTTTAAAAAATGTCATGAGAGCTGAGAGCCTACAGCAAACATCACAGTAGAAGATGAACGTCCCTTAAACCTGAGCACAAGGCAAGCCCCACTCTCACAGGAGGGGAGACAGGAGAGGCCCGGGTGGGAAGGGGGACAGGGCTTCTGCCAGAAGTGAAGCAGACAACAGGGGAGAATTGCTAGGACAGCAAGAGCAACCTGAGAATGCGCTAGAGAAAAAGTCGCCATAAAGATAACCCCAAGGCTGGGCACGGGAGGGAGCTCTCTGCTGAGAGGTCATCAGAAGGGGAGCCCTGAAGTCAGGCATGGCCCAGGGACAGGCTAGGAGGAACAGGGTGCCACTGGACACAGGAGCGGGGACCCTGAGTCCCGAGGAGTCTCCCTGGCTGGTGGGCTCCGAGCCATCCCGTGACAACCTCGTGGGCTCTGCAGGAGTCACCAGTGGTTCAACAACTTCTCTTAGGACCAGACCATGCAGTGTGCCCCAGACACACCCCCATCTGTTCATGTGTCTTGTCCTATCGATGGCTAGAGCTCAGCAGAAAGGGAAGGTGGGTGCCCCCGCCAGCTCCCCACCCCTCACAGCTAATGCAGAGCACCTCCCAGTCCCAGAGGCACAGAGGACCCACCGCCCACCCTGAGAGGTGTCAGTGACTCAGGACACCTCAGGATGGGCCAGAGGGAAGCGTGGTTCCTGGGGCGGGAGCACTAACCTCCAGGGCTGCAGAGGTGCTGGCGTCAAAGCCATCACACACCAGCACGGTGAGGGTGTCGCCCACACCGCGTAGCAGCTGCACCGCCTCGCTGTGTGTCAGGCCCAGCAGGCTCTGCTGGTTTACCTCCAACAGCCGCAAACCCACACGTAGCCGGCCATCACGCCCAGCTGCCCCCATGGGGCTCACCTGTGGAGAGACGCGGTGTGAGAGGGACCTGGTGGGAGGTGGGGAGTGAGGCCTGGAGCAGGCTGTGGGGCGCTCACCTTGGAGATAAAGATGCCCTCGTCTGTGGGGTCACGGGGGTTGCCAGCATGGCCCCTGGCGCCCCCTCGGATGCTGATGCCCAGCCTCTCCCCGGGTGCCTTCTGGATGCACAGCTCCCGTAAGCCTGGGGGAGCTGGGTCCCTTCGCACCAGCAGGGACAGCTCCAGGCAGGGCCGGAGCAGGGCACTGACAGCTTCTTGGTGCGTGGCCTCCCGCACGTCTTGCCCGTTCACTGCCAGGATGCGGTCCCCAACCCGCAGGCCACTGCGAGCAGCTAGGCCCCGCGGGAGCACCTGTCAGGGAGAAGGGTGACATCTGGTGGATAAGGCCGCGCCAACTTGAGCTGGTACCTGGGATGGGTGCGCCTGGCTCAGAGCTGTCTGGCTGGGTTGCCCTACCTTGGAGATGAACACACCAGGCTCCTGGACACCAAACGGGTGGCTGGAGTGGTCAGAGCCTCCAACGATACTAAGACCCAGAGGGCCCCCCGCTCTCGGCAGACGGATCTCCTGGGGACACGGACAAGGGACAGGTCTCGGTCAGGACAGGGAAGGGGTGTGGGAAGACTCCCTTGTGCATCCAGGTCCTTGTGGACGGTGGGCAGGGGCTGCCCTAACGTGCCCATGAGGGTTCCTGTGCCACCAGTGTTTGGCTGTCCAAGCAGGCATGCAGCATGAGGCCAACATCCTTGCTAACTGAGGCCATCTGGCTGGCCAGAAGACTGTGTTGAGGGAACCAAATTGAGGAGTCTGGCTGTGGGGCAGAGCCCCAGCCTCAAGGGGCCACAGGGCAAAGGGCGAGCAGGCCAGCTTCCCACCCAGAGTGGGCTGCAGGGTCACAAAAGAGCAGATCCTGGGAGGGCCAGTGCCCACAGCTGAAGCTGGGCAGGTGCCTGGGTAGGGGCGTGTGTCTCACCTCCACTGGGTATGGCCCTTCCAAGGTGGCGGCTAGCAGGCCGGGGGCCAGCCTCAGCAACCCAGCATCCCCGGGGGTGACAGTGGTTATGCTGGGGGTGGTGGTGCTGGTGGGGGTGGTGGTGGTCACGGCAACGGTGAGGGGTGAGGAGGAATGTGGTGGAGAGCTGGAAGGAAGAGGGCCCCCAGCCTCCCGCTCCAACAGCAGGGCGATGGTGGGGGAGGCAGCAGTCAGCAGGGAGACGGCATGGTCATGCCTGGCCTCGGTCACATCCACTCCGTTAATCTGTGAGAACGTATCCAAGTCAGGGAGGCCCAAGGGCAGGATGGGACAGAGGGTGAGGGAGGGCGTGTGGGGCGAGGCCCCATCCCCACTCACAGAGAGGACTCGGTCGCCGACCTGCAGAGTGCCAGCACGGTGAGCAGCACCCCCCTCGGCGATGCGGGAGATGAAGATGCCCTGCAGGGGAGGGTGAAGGGGAGCCAGGGCTGCCAGTAAGGCTGGAGCAGCTCTCCCCAGCCCTGGAGCAGCCCTCCCCGGCCCTGGGCCCCAGCCTCACCGCATCACCAGCCCGGTAGGGTGTGGAGCCTTTCCCACCAGCAATGCTGAAGCCCAGTCCCCTTTCACTTCGAGCCAGGCAGGCCACGTGGCGCTGCCGGAGGGGTCCCGGGCTCTCGGGGGGGAGCAGGGGCAGGCGCAGGCCCCCTCCCCGCCGCTCCCGGGGACTGTAGTCATCCTCGGGCCGCAGAGGCGTGATAGTGACTGCGTTCTCAGGCTCCACCATGCGCTCGCGCCACACTCGCATCTGCACAGCAGTGCCGGCCCCCCGGAGTGCCTCCACAGCCTCATGGTGCTCGGCGCCCTGCAGAGCCACACCATTCACCTGCGGGCCACAGAGGCCACATGCACATCAGAACCCCGAGCGGCCACCGACAGCCACATGCTGGGGGCTCCACGTGCTCCCTCCAGAATGGGGAGACTGAGGCACGGGCAGGGGGAGAGGTCCCAGGCTCTGACACCACCCTAGCCCTTTAGATACAGGGTTCTTCGTGGGCACTGACCTCCCCCCAACCAGGTCCTCAGAAACCCCATGTGTGCAGCCCCACGGCTAGGACACAGGTTGGCCATGGGAGGCAGGTAGACATCCCCACAACCAGGCCACATACAGCCCTGCTCCTGGACACCTCGGGCCCATCTGAGCAGCCCAGCACACACCTGAGCTCATGGGGTTACTGACCCACGCCCCTACCCCAACGACCCAGGGACAGGAGTTCCCACGAAAAGGTTAGGAGAAGAGCCGAGTGGCAGAAGCAGCACCTGAGCCGTGGGCAGACGCCTCCTGGCTGGGCTCCAGGGCCCTCACCTGCCCTCGGGGTGTCCCTATGAGAAGGGCACATGCCTCTTCTGAACCCCGACACGACTGCCCAGGCTGGACGGCCAGGTGCCCAGGTGGGGGCTCCAGGGATCTCATACAAGGTCCAAACTCCATCAGACCAGCCAGCAGCCTGGCCCTTCCTGGAGAGGCCACTGTGCCTGGGGCAGCCATGGCCTGACCCACGGATGGCTCTCCCCTGGAGTTTACAGATTCCGTGGCTTGGTGTCCTGTGCTTAGGACTCTTGTGGGGCTGGGAGAAGGCAGCCAATCACCCTAATACCAGGAACTGTGTACCTCCAGAGAGCATAGCTGCCACTTGGGGCCAAGGGGTCCCCAACTCACCTCGAGGAGCTTGTCACCCACGCGGACACCAGCCCGGGCTGCAGGGCCTTCCTCGGACACCCGAGAGATGAATATGCCCTAGGGCACAGACACGAGCTTGGCAGGGGCCAGGGAAGGGGGCCCGAAGTTCTGCCCCTTCTGCAGAAGACCCAGGGGGGAAGACAAACTCCCAGCAGCCCCCAGCCCTGGCCAGCAGGAGAGCTGAGCTCTGGCCACTGCGGGATCCCGAGTGCCAAGGCTGGAAGGAGCAGGTCAACCCCAAGAAAGGGCTCGTGGCCCCAAGCCTGGTGCAGAGGCGCCTGGCGAGAGAAGGGAGG